TGCCCCTATTTTCCCAAAGCAACCACAAAGAAAAAAAAAAAAAAAGCAAAACCAAAACGAAACAGGACTCGCCCGAGAGAAAACAAACACAAAATGCGCCTGACGCGTCTGACGCGTCTGGCGTTTGTTTTTTTCTCGGGCGAGTCCGGTTTCATTTCGTTTTTGCTCTGGGCCTCGCTGCACTACTCTCGAAATACGGACAGATACACGGTCATGATTTTCGTTTTTTGTGGATGTCGAGAGTAGTGAATCTTCCACTACAATACGGACAGTGTATCTGTCCGTATTTCAAGAGAAGTGCGGCGAGGCCCATAGCATAAAAAGAGAACGCAAAAACGAAACGAAACGAAACCGGACTCGCCCGAGAAAAAAACAAACGCCAAACGAGTCAGACGCGTCAGGCGTGCTGCATCAGGCGCGTCAGAATTTTACATCGGACGTCTCACGATTCGTGATGAAAACAATCGCGCATCAGAATTTTACATCGGACGTCTCATGCTAAGCGATGCAAAAAACACTAACGTGGACCATCGCAGAAGCGAGAGTCGCCCCGCGGCCTACTAAGTTTTATTAGGGTTATTAGATAAAAAATAAAAAGAAAGAAAGAAAAGTCTGAAAAGACGCAATCACTGCCAACAGGGATCATTGTCCAAATGAACAAAAAGAAAGAGACAAGACCCCAGAGATACCACCACTTCTTTAAACCACCACTACCTTTCCCAGTGTTGGGAAAATGGGAATATATGTCACACCGCATTTTTCGGGGGTCCTGCACAGTCGAAAGGAAGGATGTCGGGGGAAGCCGTGAAGGAGGTGTGCTCACGGTAGTGCTTCCACGAATGCATCTGCCCAGAATGTTTGCTTGTGCAAGGAATATGAGCGAGAGCGATAGACAGAAATCCAAGTTGCAAAATCACGAAGTGGCTCAGATAGTCATGAACCAAGCAGAGAGTGCAATGCACCAAGATACCGTCCAAATAAGAGCAATACAATGAACTCGAACGTCAATGTCGCCACTCTCTGGTCACACCAACACTGTATCCAATGTCACACTTACTGTCTGGCACCCAGCGCCCAGCCTATCCTCTTCAGCCGATCTAATCCTATCTACATTCTCGCAACTGGATCACTCTGAAGTCGAAGACCAATGTACGTGATGTTAACACCAATGCCAATCACCAGCATACACCAGGTACGTTCGCTCTCCTCTCGTCATCACCCCTCTCGTCATCACCCCTCTCGTCATCACCCCTGGTCTCCCCACAGCATGCGCCTCCTCCCCGAAGACCACCTTCGCCATCACCTGCCTTGTGCCCCTGCAGCCCGGCTATGGCTGCTGTGCAGCCGCTGCCCTTGCAGCGCCCCTCACCTCAGCGCCCGCGCTCGCGTCCGACCAGCAGCGCCCATGCAGACACTTGCGCAGCAATGCAGCAGTGTGTCCGCATTGCCTGCATAGGCCAGAATGCCTCCCCCTGGGCTGGCCTCTTTCCTTTATGGAAAGTGCAGCCCGTGTGTGTCTGCCTGGGCCTGGCTGGGGAAGTTTCCAGTAGCTTCCAGTCGGGCCCCAGTCTCTGCGCCCAGGCCAACCTCTGCAGTTAAGAGCCTGGGCCCTTTTTGGTTGGGCACGTATAGATAGCCTCCCAGGCTCCAAGGGTTGGCCACATTCTCATTGGCTCGCGGGGATTGCGTGACGACAATGCTGCTTTCTCATTCGTCCGTGGCTGCTGCGTGATGTGTCGGCCTCACGCTGTGTGTGCCCAGGGAGCAACCACCCGGTCCTGGGCTCAACAGTACAGCACAGTCCTTGTTTTCTGGAAAGAGCCTGGAGGTTCATGCTTCCCTGCACCAACTGGTGTACTGCAACTGTCTGTGTACCCACATATGGTAAATGTCAAACATAAGCCTCTTGTGGATATCCAGGCCCGCCTTCACTTACGGCGGGCGCAGGGCTTGCTGGGGCCCACAGCCGAGAACACTTGCATGCCTGTTAGGGCCCCGTGACAGCTCAGTCCTCGCACTTGTTTCGTTTTCCGGGCTTTTTTTTTCTTTTTTCTTTTTTTTCCTCATTTCGTTTTAGTGCCCTGCTAACAACACTTTTCACTAACAGCTGACACTTGGAACCAACGGGGCACTCTCACATGTGCTCAAGATTCTGTGTCCAGCTGTTTCCATGTCCACAGAGTGCATCCTCCTCCCGTGTTTTGCTGAGGGCAGTAAGGCCCTGAGAGGGCATATCCTCACGTGAACTCAATCATCCTCAATGCTCCGAGTCCAGGTGCTTTCGCGTCCACAGAGTTGTTGTTTTTTATCACTTTTTTTTTTCTGTACACTCCTCCCGTGTTTTGCTGCGGGCTGTAACGCCCATTGGGAGGCCATGTACCCACAATGGGACCCAGGCTCGACAAAACTCGGTGCGCAGTGAAATTCAGGGTTGGTAAAAACAGGATCGGAGGTAGTGGTGGTTTACAGGATTCCGCGTGAACAATCAAATGGTGTACACGAATTGGGGAGGAAAAAGAAAAGTGGGGAGGAGAAAAGAGAAAAAGGAGGAGGAAGGAGGAGGCAGGAGGAGGCAGGAGGAGGAAGGATGAGGAAGGAGGGGGAAGGAGGGGGAAGGAGGGGGAAGGTGGGGGAAGGAGGAGGAAGGGGAAGTGGAACATGAGAAAAGGTGATGGAAGAGAACACGACTGGAGGTAAGGAGGTAGAGATGAAATCAGAGGAGATCAAACGCATGCAGTCGTATGAGAGAAACCATGAGCCACACCTTATAAGCAGAGGAGGAGGAAAGAGGAGGAAAGAGAGGGGGAGAAGGAAGCTTGGGAAACAAGCACACCTTGATGAGCTGAAAAACGAACTTGCGTCTCCTCAGCCAGTGAGAAAACGGCTTCAGGATATCGGCCACAGGAGCTGACAAGTAACGCCCGTGGCGAGTCTGCTGCATGCCTACTTTTTCCAACATCTTCACAAGCTCTGCCACCTGCTCATCAGAAGTACACTGTTGGGTGAGGAGGTGGTCTCTCCCTTGTCAAACAAAAAGACAATGCCGTTCCAACCACGGCGCCAAACCAGCAGAACGAACTGTCTCAATGACCCAAACAGAATACAAACAACCTCTCTCTTTCTCTCTCTCTCTCTCTCTCTCTCTCTCTCTCTCTCTCTCTCTCTCTCTCTCT